TTCAGTACTCGTCGAGCAAACTTGTGCAGTATCATCATATACATAACATCTTCGACTTCATATTTGCATTCGTTCTGTTTTAGTTCCGCAATTCTCCTGTCATTAGTTTCTTACGTCAGTAAATAGTACATTGAAAATCGAGTGTTTTGTGCAGATTAAACCAACACTACCACGGTTTTTTCTCGATGCCTTATTTATCGACGAGTTCTCGGGCCTCGTCCTATAACGTGTGCATCAAAAAAAAAAAAAAAAAAATTCTGAGGTATGAGATCCAATTCTACCTAAAGTGAAGGGGGCAAATCGATGCAATTGAGAGTAAAAGGGGTAAAGTGATATCGAACTAAAGTACAAGGGGGCAAATCTATACAATTGAGAGTAGAAGGGGGTAAAGTAATATCGAGCCAAAGTACAATGTGAGAAAGTGGAGTTAACCCTAAAATTTATAATGCTAATCTATCATGGTTAAAAGTGTAGCTTTTATTATGACAAGTTTTACATCAAAATTATTCTATTTAAGTAACAAAATAATTATCAAAAATAAAATAAAATAATAACTATATTATTAGTTTAAAACTAAAATTATGTAATTTTATTATGAAAAATAAAGGTTACAAATAATTAATTTAGCCTCGCATGCCAATAGTTAACTAATTTTAATAATTAATAATTTACTATTTTTAGATTTTGTTAAGTTTACAAAATTTTGTTAGTTCCAATTTTATTTAGTGGTAGAAATTTAACTGTAATATTATTTTTAATTAATATCATATGGTAAATAAAAAATAGCATGTAAAACTAACTTACGAAGTGTTATAATGGACAGTTGACTGGACATACAAGTTCGGTTTAAGAAAAGGAAAAAAAAATAATATAAAAAGAAAAAGATGCACAAAGATTAAAAAAGAAATATTAATTAAAAGAATTTCAATGATCAAATTAAATTCACCTTCAATCCCCTACACCTGTCAATCAGTGAACGAACCCGCTTTTGCCTTATTAATGGATGGTCCGGTCCAAATGCTCACTCTTGAAATAAACCGGATCCATGTAATTAGCTTAAATACAATAATTTATGGGGTAATTTGCTATATGCCCGTCTACTTTCATTTATTCATTTTTAGTAAGGACAAGTCACATTTTGCTAACAGTTCATCAGGCATTCCAACATTAATGGTCGGACCAAAATACTCATATATCATTGTACGCTGCAAGCACCTTTTCACTTCCCTCAATCACATTGCTCTATTCAACTGCGGTTTTACTTTACATTTATGAGGTTTTGCTCTATATTACTGCGGTTTTGCTACAAAGTTGTGCTTGAAAGAAAAAGTGGCGGAAAAAAGTATGTAGTTCGAAATCTAATTTTAACGTCACTGTACTATAGAGTTCAATAATACATGAGACGTTTGATCTTCTAACTATGAAAGTCGATAGTACGTGCGTTTGAACCACAAAACTCGACTCATAATACCCAATTGCCACCCTAACACTATTTTCATTTTCTCAAGATCATTATTTTTCATCTATGGTTAAAACAACTTAATTACAAACAATTCCCAAAAGATAGGATCAAAAATCCAAATTCCAAACGGCCCAATTATAAACCAAAAGCCCTACTTTGTATCATCGTCTAGCCCACCTTTCTCTGTCACACACACACACACACACACACACACACACACACACACACACACACACACTCACACGAAGCGCTCGAAATAGTTTTTTCAATTTTTTATTTTTTTTAATTTTTTATTATTTTTTATTTTTTTTAGAGAAAAAAATAAAAAATAAAATAAATAAATAAATCGCCAATCTTCGGAGCACGAAGACGAATGAACCTGAAACTGTGAAAAACACCATTTTCACATTAAAAATCTCACGCAGAACACACAGTGGCAGTGGCATATGCATATACGTATTTATGTATGGCTATTTATCTCTATATCCACATTACAGTGTAATGCTCTGATAATTTCACGTACTCTAGGGCAAAATTTAGTACCTTCTGCTTTGAATTGAGGTACCTTGTGCATCAGAAGCAAAACCCTAGCAGTGGTGCTAACACAAAATTCGAGGTCTTCCCTTTTATAGCCCCTTCATTGCAATTCATTCGTGCTTCATCGCAATTCAGGTAAAAAAATTGCTCTCCCAGCTGGAATTTCAAGTTCTGCTCTAACCCTAAGAATTTTTTCCGCGCATTTTCAATTCAAATTGGGGGTTTAATATGGGAAGATGGATATGAAATTGGTGATTACGTGTTCCATTTCATGCATTTTGTTCAATTGCAGTTAGGTTTAGCTATATAGTTGTAATAGCATACTTGAGCTTCTCTGAAGTTTGGCATTTGAGTGGTTCTGGGAATTTCATATTTATTGCTGAATGAGTTGAGTTATGCTTTCTCTGTGTGCCTTTTTGATCACTTGTGAGAGTATGAATACGACAAGACGGGTAGAAAGACTTGCGAGGCTCCATTTGCAAAGTTTGGTTTGATGTTTACTTTTACGACACGTGTGCGTCGGTCCTGTGCTCCATATCTTTTTGAGAATCTGTTGACTGATTCTTGGTTTTCTGATAAGCTAACGAACTTTGACTTGCTTTATGAATTTCTGACGTGTCATATTGGTGAATTTAATGATGGTTATGATACAATCTTTTACTTAAATCAAATTAAATGCGCGTTCAGAAAACTGTTTGCCACTTTCTTTTCGTATTTCTTATCAGTTTTAGGAATGTCCTGGATCGCTTCCCAATCATTGGACAAATGGGGGAAACCCCTGTCGCTCTTTCACTCACATTTTGAATATGTAAACATACTGGATATGCAAATGCTTCCTGTTTTTATCTTCGTGTGTGGAATCCGCACATGACATACATGTTATAGACGATGTATATGTAGGCCAGTGTACCTTTACTCAAATACTTGGAATTCAAAATATCATGGATCAGATGTTAAAATCACTGGAGATTGTTTGATTTTACATTGAATTGGATCTATAATGCATTAACACATGAATACGTATGAAACTGGTGCCACTGAGTCTGCAACACTGCTCAGACACATATTTTTCTGAAAGGATCTTAAGTGGAACCAAAGAAAAAAAGAATGGATATATTATCACCCTATTAGGATATAGTTACGTTTTAAAGCCAAGTGAAAGAGGAAATGTATGGGCATCTAGATTGTAAGTCAGCCAATAACTCGACCTTATTTCTACAAAACTGAACTGTCATGTGCATTAGGAACTGTCATGTGCATTAGGAATGTTACAAGTATAAACTATAAAATCATTTTTGTGCATATATATATATATATATATATATATATATATATATATATATATATATATATATATATATATATATATATGTGTGTGTGTGTGTGTGTGTGTGTGTGTATTTCTCAACTTCACTGTGTCTCGGGTATATGTACCATGTCTCTATTAGCACCCGGGCAACATGGTATGGGGTCTTTGTTCATTTTGCAGTACTGTTCAATCATGACGTTATCATTTCTTGACACTAGTTAGCCCTGTAAAATTATATTATTTGTTAATTCAACAGCATATTAATTTAGTGTTAAATCTTATCTTTATTTTTGCTGAATCGGACTACTAGGATCTAAGTTACCTTCGATGAAGCTTGTTGAAGTTGAATGCTCATGCATGCTATGTGCTATTCACCGACCAAGAAACCTCAATCTTTGATTTGTCTTTTTGTTTAACACTATGAAAATTGGACCCCTTACAATTGTTGGCCTTCCAAATTGTTTTGGCTGTTCTCTTCATAGCCAATCTCCAAATTTTCATTTCATGGTGTGCTCTAATATATGGTTGTTGAATGTTGTAGACATTTTAATTGTTTGTGTGAAGTTGATTTTGATGAAAGACTTGTTAAACCAGATTATCACACACATTCATGACAAACACTATTCCAGCGATCAGACAGAGTATGAAATAAGATGAAGGATGTAGCCCAATTAGAAATACATTTTTTCTGACCTTGCCCTGCCTATTTGAATTATGCGCTCAGATAATTTATCCTTTATGTGTTCCAGTTATCTCTTGTCATAAGTCTCTTAGCTATTTGTTTACAGGAGATAACTTCCTGAGGCATTGGAAGAGATCATGTATAGCTTTTGAACTGGGGAATGCATGGATGTAGTTCAACATCTGTTCTTTTAGTCGATGCCGAATTTGATTCTATGGGAGGTTCTGAAGTAGGAGTTGGAACTGCTAACAGAACTTCTCCGCGGAAAGCAGCAATTGAGAAAGTTCAAGCAGAGCTAAGGTAACGATGCTATGCCATATTACTTCTATATTGGGCCAACCACCTGTTCTTTGTTATCGACTTCTATACTTTATTTATAGTCACAAACAATTTTTTGGTGATGACAGGCAAGAATTTGGTGTCCGGGATGAATGGAGAAGAGAATTGGATTTTCTTGAGCAAGTATGGAGCTTTACTTGATTCCCTTTTGGAAAATATCCAGAGAATTTTGCATTTTTTTGATTCCTTTTCGTTTGCAGGGCGGAAACCCCCTCGATTTTAAGCTTGGGAATGTTGCTTCTGTTAGTGTCCAGTCAACTTCAGTTACCGACCAACATCCCGATCAGTTTGTGACCAGGTATTTTAATGACTTTGCTTTTCCTTGTAATTACCTAACTGGCACAAATGATGCCTTTGTAACTTTTTGTTCTTGGAATTATAGTGAAGCAAAAGGTGGTTTGGCATTTACTACTTCTCCTCACGGAGATTCAGTGGAAAGTAATCGTAGACCCGAGGCAGCTCTTTGTGAACCCAATAGTGCGGATAATCTCATCTTATTAGATGCTGAACATGGATATTCCGAAGGTCGTAAGAGTTTGTTACATCCCAATAGAAGTAATGTTGTGCCATCTGAACAGTCATTCCAGATGGATGTAAGTCGTAAAACTCAGGAACATGGGGATTCTGCTGCTTTTGGTCTCCCTAGAAAAGCATATAAGAGAAGGAATAGGTTCCGTCCCAACCGTGATGGAGCTAGGTCAAGTTCAACTGATGTAAATCCAATTCGTGGAAGTCATTCCTCTTCTTTACCTTCTCGCCATGGGCATAAGGATGTAAATGGATTGGCATCGGATACCGAGAATCAAAGTATATCATTGAACTGGAACTCAAAGCCTACAAGTCCAATGGATGTTACCCGCCCTAAAACTGTATTTGCAGGTGCTCAGGACAATATTGGATTCGATGGTCTAAAGTCCGTAAAATCAACCAAGGACCTGATTGAGGGTGTTTTTGTAAATACTGCATCAGATGTCATAGCTTCAAAAAACCCTGTAGACGAGGAACTAAGTCAACAATCACTTTCAGGTGCTATTAAAACTCGTAATCGAATGGATTCAAACGAGCCTGAAGCAATCCAGGTTTTGGGAGAAATGGACCCTGCAGTTATTGAGTGTCAGCCAAGTGTGAATGCCACAAAAGTTGAGATTCAATCTAGTTCCAGTCAGATCAATGGATTCAGCAGTAAAAAAGGCGATGAGATGATAAATGACGATCATAAGAGCAGTCCCTCTTGTGTGATAAAGGTTTTGGATTCTGAGTCATCTTGCACGCAAACCAGCCTCAGTAATGATGCAAATAATGATATGGAAAAGTGTACTAGAGTGAAAAATGTTGACTCCAATGGGAACCTTGAAAATCAAACTTTACAAGATGGGAACCCAGTTATAGAAAGTGATAAATTTGCAAATGGAGATAAAGATACTGAGGAAATTGACGTTTCCACTCTTGTCAACAAGGAGAGTGTTTCTGCTTGTCAAAGCCAAAGAGATACTAGTTTCTCACTCCAACCGAAGGAGGAATTATATCAAAGCGAATCTGCTTCAAAAGACGAGGTGAAAGATCAAGTTATCACTGAGGGAATGGATACTTGTGACCCCATTCAATCAGAATCTGGGAGTAAACCTACTGATCCTTTGGCTGACAATCCTGGACTGCAGAATGAAACATCTCGTGATGTTGGGCATCAAGGTTCTATTGATGTTTCAAATTTGGATCTCACTGAGGCTAGATGCTTGGCTAGTGTGTCTACTTTTTCAGATGAGGCGCAAATAATCCCCGAGTCTGACTCAAAGTTGGCAAGCAGTATCGATGAAGATGCAATATTGAAAGAAGCACAGATCATAGAGGTTATTGTTTATGTATTTGTGTTATCTTTTGTGCTTGAAGAATATCTTATATAATCTTTTTTTGGATCAAAAGATCTAATACGACTATTGATAGGCAAAGCGGAAGAGAATTGTGGAGTTGACTAATGTGACTTCTCCAATTGAGATTCCCCGGAAATCCCATTGGGAATATGTGCTTGAAGAAATGGCATGGTTGGCAAATGATTTTGCACAGGTTTTCCTTTATAATATATCTCCGGGTTCTTCATATATGGATCGTGTTTCTACACTGGAAAAATTGTAAAATCCATTCTTGAGAGCCTTCCTGTTTTGCATCTTCTCATGTAGGAGCGTATTTGGAAAATTGCTGCTGCAGCTCAAACATGTTATCAAGTTGCTGTTACTTCTCGGTTGAGAAAACAAGAAAAATGTTCTGGCATGGATGCAAAGCGTGTTGCTCATACCTTGGCCAAAGCTGTCATGGGGTTTTGGCACTCTGTAGAGGTACAAATTCAGGTAAGGATCTGTCTTCCAAATGCCTGTGCCCGTGATTCTGTTTTTGAGAAAATATTTCCATTTTAGGAAATGGAGCCCTATTTTGATAAATTGAGTAATGAAACATGAGTGATTAATATGGCACGTGGAGTAATTAGTATTGTTGAAGCAGTGCATTTAAATAATCATAAAAAAGACCCGCTGCATTTCAACTGCGGCACAAGAAATCTAACGTTGATGGACCATCTCTAATTTCTAATTAAAACTAATCTTGTTGTTTGAATAGTATTTTCATCTAGAGAATTTTTTTTCGTGTTTCTATAACCTCTATGAAATGGCTGGGATATTCCATATTTTTTATTGCCTAAAGTTTTTTGTTTTTTGGTATTGTATTGGGGCGTTTGCATTAGATATTTTGTGCTTAGTTGGGCACAGCATACCCATCTTTCTGAAGCATTGTTCTGTCTAATGATTTTAGTATATTAACTAAGCATTTGGAACTCTGAAGCCTATGAATTTATCTATGGGTTAACATTGTTTCAACTTTTCTTGTTGGGATGCTGCTAGGCTATTTTGGACGAGTCATTGAAGCCATTATCGATATCCTGTTGAAAGACTGTAGACTTTTACATGATTTAGATGAAGCATATAGTCTTGTAATATGTGTTGCTTTTTTTTGAGTTTTTTATTTTATTGTCAGCTTTCTGCTGCCTTAGTTTTGTCAGACCCTTTATAGCTGTTGGGTTGATGCCAAACCCTTTCATCCAGTCGCGGATGGTTTTAGGAAAAAAAATAAAGAAAATATAATTGAACTTGCAGTTGTCAATTTGATGGTTTTGCAGGAGACAAACAAAGAACTGAAACAACAACTTCAGAAGGATGAGGGACTCTCTGTTCGGGATTATGCAGTCAGATTACTGAAATGTAATGAACCCAGTATTTTTCTTAGTCAGACGGAGGTACCGTTAACACCGGATAGAATTTCTGACTCGGGAGTCCTGGACCTGTCATGGGAGGATAGTTTGACGGAAGTATGGATAATCACCCAATATCTTGATATATTTGTTTCATATCAATCCTCCCTCTGCCTCTCCCTCTTCCACTCACCCAGCCCACACACAGCACAGTCACTACTTATCGAATATTGCTTCACATACTATGGATACATGATAATATATATGTTTTACGTGATTCCATGAACTAGCTCGGTTCACTTATCTATTATATTACTGTATTACAATTCAGGAGAATCTCTTCTACTCGGTTAATCCTGGAGCTATGGAAACCTATAGAAATTCCATTGAATCTCATGTGACTCACTGCAGGGTAAGTGTATTACTCAATCTTGGTGCATCATAACTTGTATTGTTGCTTACATTATACTGCTCGATCCATGCTTTGCACTTTTTCCTTGGTTTTAATTGCAAGTGGTCTATCAAATACATTCTTCAATAAGAAAATATTAGTAATGGAACTTCTATATGGGCAGGGTTAGTGGGCATGTGCAGCGCATGAATATGCCCATTAGGTATTAAGAAAGTCATATTGATGATACTATGGACACTCATGATATGTGAACTTTGTACCTGGCCTCTTTATGTTTAAGGAATAGCTTGTTTCAGATACTAGTAGGTATTTTGAAGTCCATGCTTGTCTAACTAGAATACTTTGGTGAAATTCTAGAGAACAGTGTACAGGTGCTTGTGGATGCCACATGTTTGAAATTTTGTTATATACTAAATATGAAGACAGTTCCAATAGAGCAAGAGTTTGAAACATAAAATTAGAAAAGTAACGTGGACAAGAATGCTTGCCAGCTTTCTTCTGGTCTATGACCTATTAGACATCAATGCTAATACAACTCGAATCTTCATGTTTTATATTTTACCTTTTAGTGTCTAACCATCGCATTATCCGATCTCTTGAATTATTCAAATGCCGCTTCAGAGAATTGGATGCACTGTGCAAGAGGAAGTGGAGACGTCTGCTTGTGATGTCGCAACAGGTAAATCTTATATAACTTCTGCTTGTTTCGGCCTTGTCTTTTGAATTAGTATTTGTTTGATAAGGTTGCCCATTGCAGATTTTGAATATAAAGATAATGCATATGATGAGGATGAGGGGGAAACAAGCACATATAACATACCAGTGGCCTTTGAAGATAACAAATCTTCGAGATATGGCCAAAAAAAGAGGAAACACTTGGGACATTCTTATGGTGCGAGGTCGTATGAAATAGGCTCTGATTTGTTGCCTATGCCAAGTACTGAAAATAACTTAGTGAGCCAACAATATGGTTTAGCGGCCAAACGGCCAGGCAGCAGTCTTAATGTATCAGTCCCAACAAAACGCTTACGGACTGCTTCCAGAAGAGTTATCAGTCCTTTTAACGCTGGAGCATCTGGATATATTCAGATGCCAAATAAAACAGAAGCTTCAAGTTGTGATACCAATTCATTTCAGGATGATCAGAGTACCCAACGTGGTCGATTGCTTGTTCCAAATAGTGTAGAAGTAGACTCAGCTGGCGCTTTTGAAAATAAATTACCATTTGACTCTGCAGAAGTATCATTAAAACCTAAGAAGACGAAGAAAGCAAAGCATCTGGTCTGCTATAGTATAACCTATCAAGTATGTTATTGTCATTGTAGTCAATTTCTTGAAGTATTGAATCTCATTGGTATTTTTTGGCAGAATTCTTCATATGAACAGAGATGGCAGGTCGATTCGAGTTTCCAGAATGAGCAGGTGAACCATGTCACATCACCTTGTATACCTTTTGTGTGTGTGTGTGTGGCAATAACAATCAAAATAGGCTGCTGCTGCGCATAAGCCTACCATGAGGGGTTGTTTTGCAGCCTGTTTGTTTACTATATTAAGTATTACTGAAATTGACGTGGACCACTGAGACCTTCCAGTCCAGTGCTTTAACTTACCTATTATCTGGAGCTTTTGCAAGAGACAATGAATCTTGTTTACTTTACGTGTTTAAACATCCTGTAGTTTAAACTTTTATAATAAATATAACTTAACGGAGTGTTGTCTCATTAAAATGCAGTCTAAGGTGATTTATATCATTATTGCCATTATGATTTGTACATCTGTAAATTTAACAAAGGCCTAATAATACTTCTATTGTTATGATCTCATTTGGCCAGTGAGAATTTACTTTCTATGGTTCCGCAATTTATTTGTGTATTTTTTGTTGTATAATCTATTTTACAGTTTCGGAGAGATCAGTGGAAAAAAGGTTTGGACGGTCATCAACTTGAGTCTAATGGGAACTGTGGTAAAGCTTCCTCTAAGCTAGTGGTCTTGTTCAATGATCAACTCATTCTTGGTAGCATCTTATGTATTTGTATCTCTCTTATGAAGGTTTATTGGGTCAACCTGTATTAAAGAAGCCGAAGCTTATCCGGCAATCACAGGATAGCTCTTTTGACAATATCCCACCAAGTGGAGGGTCTGTTCCTTCTCCAGTAGCCTCCCAAATGAGTAACATGTCAAATCCGAATAAATTTATTAAAATGCTTGGTGGCCGGGATCGTGGTAGGAAATCTAAAGCTCTTAAGGTACTTATACAGATCACCATTACCATTTCTTCCTTTCATATTCACTTTGTGATCTTGCTGATGTTTCACAGCTCTGAAGTTAAAAATGATATTTTTCCGAGCCTTTTGGGCAGTCGGGTTCAGGAAGCATATGGTCACTCTTTGAAGACCAGGTTGATTTAATTTTAGTTCATAATTGCACATATTAGCTTACAGATAATTTTCTTCTGAAACTTGGGATATTCTGTTCTCCTCAAACATCATTTAAATAGATTGTTTTTCAATTCTTTTTAGGCACTTGTTGTCCTGGCACATGACCTTGGGCCCAACTGGGAGCTTGTAAGTGATGCTATTAACAATACTGTGCAAAAGGTAAGATTATTCAAAATTCCTCATATCGTTCTCATAGGAGTCTTAATAGTTGTCAGTTGTGATTCTAATAGTATCTGCTCTTATAACTTGTGTTGTATGTAATCAGTGCATACACCGAAAAGCCAAAGAATGCAAGGTGCGTCATAGCTTTTTGATGGATAGAAGTCCTGGCGATGGGGCGGATAGTGCTGAAGATTCTGGGTCTTCACAGCCTTACTCTTCTACATTACGTGGCATTCCCAAGGTAGAAAAAACATTCATCAGTTTCTTGTTTGCTTGATTAACCTATTTATGATTTACCACGTAATTTCATCTCGAATTATTTGATCGACTTATACTGACGATCTTTACTAAAGATCATAGTTTCCTATTACGACATGATAAATTTTTCTATGTATATTTCTGCTTGTCATACAGGGAAGTGCTAGGCAGTTGTTTCAACGTTTACAGGGTCCAATGGAAGAAGAAACCGTCAAATCTCACTTTGCGAAGATAACAATGATTGCACAGAAACAACATTGTCGTAAGACACAGGTATTGACATTAAATTGGATGTCATACAACCCTGTCTGAGCCTTGATCATTTTGTGTTGTGTGGTTACCCTTTTCCTTACTTGTTATACATTGTTAATACTTTATGTGAGTATTCTTGTGTTGTGTTGTGTGGTTATCCTTTTCCTTACTGTTCTACTCCGCATCTGAGATTTTAGTCTAAATGTGTTACTCTGAAAGTAGTGGTCAGTTCTATTTTATTTCCTACCACGTTAGCCTGTTCTGCGCATCACTTAATGGCTCGATAGATGTATGGATCTATAAGTTCTGGTCAACTATGACATATATTGGTATAGAAATTTACATATTCCGCTGTCAAAATGTTGTTTTCGAGATTATGCATTCTTTATGGAAGCGTGGGGTAATTTTAAGACTATGGTTTAGTTTTTGGTGCAAGTTTCACATATCAAAGTAGGTGATTTGCACGTTCCCTTTGTCTGGATGGTTCTCTTAATTCAAGTTGTGATTTGGGTTGTACGCTCTTGATGAGGTTAGAATTAGGTATTAAGACCACAGTATGATCAACATGGGGTGATTCTGTGATGTTTGGAGTAAATTGATGCTTGTTTTGCAAGTGGACTTTGTTGACATTCCTCAGATAAATTCTAGCCTAATGTGGTTATCTCATAATTATGTAAGATCAGTTTTGGATACTTGATGGTTAAACCATAAATTGCTTACACTCGTTTCCGTTCTTAACAGCATTTATTTTGGTATATCTCTTCCTCTAGACTCATCATAACTAGTTCAGTTATTCTTCTTAATTAAATTAATTGATATGAACCTGAATATCATGTTTTTAATTATGTTTTGTTTAATTTCCTCAATATATCTCGATTATGGTTTTATTTTATTCACAATAATGACTTTTAAGAATGATAACCAGGATCCCATACAACTTCAGCAACCTCACAGCTCTCATACAGTTGCTCTTTCGGAAGTTTGTCCAAATAACCTTAATGGAGGACCCGTTTTAACGTAAGATATGCACGATTTGCTCATGTTCATTTGAAGGATTTTTTATGATTGAATTTACATATCGTATTGGAATCGGATTTTTCTGTTCTTAAGCTAAGTGACTGAGGACTTTCTAACTGTCCTTAATTCTTAAATTTTTCTAAAAAGCTCCACTATGTTTGCTTTTTTGAAGGCCTCTGGATCTGTGTGATACCAGCGTTTCTGGCCCTGATATTCTTTCTCTTGGATATCAAGGGCCACTTTCTAGTGGATTGGCTATTCCAAATCAGGGCAGTCCTACTCCATCGCTTCCTGCATCTGGTGCCAGTTCTGCGTTGCAAGGATCCTCAAATATGATGATTGGCAATACCTTTTCATCTCCTCATGGGCCTCTCAGTTCATCTGCCAGGTAATGAGTTCTTAAGGAATCGAAACTTCTGTTGATTCTGTCATGTATATATATATATATATATATATATATATATATATATATATATATATATATATATATAAGGACAAATACATTTCCAGCAGGGATGGTAGATATGTCCCCAGGTCAGGATCATTGTCAGCTGATGAACAACAGAGGATGCAGCAGTATAATCAAATGATACCTGGTAGAAACATACCTCAACCCAATATCTCTTCTGCTGGAATTGATCGAGGTGTTCGTGTTCTTCCTGGTGGGAATGGCATGGGTGTCATGGGCGGTGTTAATAGAAGCCTGCCGATGGCAAGACCCGGGTTCCAGGGTATTCCGTCATCATCAAATTCTGGTAATATGGCGTCCCCTGGTAATGGTATGTCATCAGCAAATATGCACGCTGGAATAGGTGCTGGCCAGGGAAGCTCTATGTTGAGACCTCGTGAAGCTGTGCAGCACATGATGCGGGTAAGCTGTGTAGGATTCTGTATGGTTCTTTCTAATCTTGCTGCTTCCGGTAATTGGCTTCATTTTGTAGGAATTTTTTTGAACATGTATGGGCTAGGATACGAATTGTGAGATGCATTCTTTCGTATTAATCCAGGAGATTGTCCTCGTACTTTACAAGATAAAATTTCTGTTAATAAATTTTATTTACCAGATTGCCTATTCTTGAATGTAATAAATTGCCCTGTGCTTTCCTGGATAATTTTTTTTTGGAATGCATGCCTTAGTTTCATTATATATGCATCTGTTCTACCTCTAACATACAATACAATACTATATCGTCTTCAGGATTCGCCGAGGCAAATGATGGCCCCTGAACTACAGATGCCTGGAAACAGCCAAGGAATGTCTCACTTCGGTTCTCCACCAGTATCATCATACCCCATTCATCACCCAATATCTCCACAACCACCACAAGTTCTTAGTCCTCGTCACCCACATTTTCAAGGACCAGCAAATCATGTCCCGAACCCTCAGCAGCAAGCCTATGCAGCAGCTCGTCTGGCTAAAGAGAGGCAGCTGCAAAATCGCATTCTACAGCAGCAGAAACAGTTTGCTGCATCTGATTCTTTGATGTCGCCGCATGTACAGTCACAGCCTCAACTTCCTGTATCATCTCCTATGCAAAATAGTTCGCAAGTTAATAATAATAAACCCCAGCAGACAAGTTCTCCGCCAGTATCAGTCTCTCCTTCGATGAATTCAGTGCCACCTCAGCATCAGCCAAACCATCAAAAACCAGCACAAGGAGCTGCACGGAATGGACAAGCTGGTGGGAGTGGGTTGACGAATCATACGGGCAACAAACGGCAAAGGCAACCAAATCAGTTTTCGCAAGCTAATAGGCAACATCCTCAGCAGCGACAACAGCAGTTACAAGCTCAACAAGCAGCTAAGGCTGCCAAAGGAGTTGGTAGAGGGAATTTGTCGATGCATCAGAACATCCATACTGATACCTCCCTCCTAAACGGGACTTCAGCAAATCTCGGGGAGAAAGGAGAGCCAGTGTCGTTCACTGGTTCACCACTAAATACGGGACAACAAGTAAGGCCATTTGTAGCTTCACAGGCCACCAATCAGTCACTGCCTCAGCAAAAGATGTATTCTGGCCAGGCATCTTCATCATCAAGAAATCTCCAAAGTAATGCTCAGTCTGATAATAGCTCTAAAGGTCAATTTCCTCCAGTTGCTCCTCCTGTTTCGTCTGGTGGCAATCAGTCCGGTACGTCGTTAACCACTGCAGGGTTAAACCACCAACAGGGACCATCTCAGCAAAAACTAGCAAATCAAAATCAACCAGCTTCTCAAAGAGTGGTGGTTCAACCAAATCGACAGATTAATCCTGACCCGTCAACTAAACCACAAGTTGGAGATTCTGATACTGAGATAGAGGCTTCTAATAATGCAACAAATGCAGTTCAAGTTGTGTCACCGACCGGTGGTCATAAGTGGCATAATTCAGAACCCTTATCGGATTCAAATGCATTAAAATCACCAACGAATTTGAGTTCCTTGGTTTCAGTCCCCTCAAACTCGAGTGAGTCTGTTCCTCAAGCTGGTCAAGGTCTTAGCCAGAGATCATCATCAGCCAGCTTACCCCAAATTCGGCACGACCAGCAGCCTCAGCAGCAGCAATCACAACAGCCTCAGCAGCACCAGTCGCCACTTCATTCCCAGCAGGTGGTGCAGCTTCTCCAAGCAGGGAACGGCAATTTGTTCGGCAGATCTACTGAATCTAGATTGGAATGAGTCTGGCCAATCAGATTCTCACAACAAAGATTTGATCAGGCCCATATCGGGTCGACATACTCCTGAGATAGCAGTGTACAGGTTTGTTATATATATATTACTTACATTCATATCTGTTGTATTTTATCATCCTTAAATTGAAATACGATCCATTATAAGGGCCCCATCAATTCTTAGTTCTGGATTCTCAAGCAATCTAGAAATAGATCAAACGAAAAAGGGAGCTGAGAATATTTCATATTTCCTTCTCTTGCATACTTTCATCTTGTTATCGATAATTCATGTTTCGTTTGGATCAGTACATTTATGTGAATTAATTTTTTCTAATTATGACGTGCATTTTGGTCAGAGAAGAACATGTGTGCAAGGGAATGGAAAGATGGCGTGTTGGTCAAAGAAAAGAGTTCTCCACTGATCTGTGAAGAGATGCTGCTGGGTCGGGTCAAATGTTTTGAGTATACTGTATATTAGAATTGGGCCAATGGATAGCTTGAGGAAGATAGAGATAGATGGTAGGGGTAGATGTACAGTCTCTCGTGTCTCTCCGTTTTGGTGCCTTCTTCTTTGTAGCCCTTATTTATTTTCGTGCTCGATTTAATTAGGAGCTGTATTTGTTTCCGCATATGTAGAGAGAGATCAGTCATGTAATTTTTTGCCCTTGCGTTAAGGGCTAAATTATCATCATTGTAAAGCCCAAGGCTGTCGAACTTTTGTGAATATTAGTCCTTTTTGTATAATTGGGGATTTTGCTTCCCATTTTGTAAGTTTAAATGAAGTTATACCATGCTAGTTGTTTCTCTTAACAAGGTGAGTGCTTTAATTACATTATATCTTGTGTTAATATTCGCTTATGCTTGCTAATTATTTTATTACGTGTGCACGAATCCAAACAAACACTTATTTTGAAACGGAGGTGACGAGTTTCAAAATCATTAAAAATTGCATCATAATTCTTGAATTGTATAATCAAATGTTAATCTTATCATCAAATATGTCACATGTCAATTATGTAAACTCGTTCTTTTCCCGTCGAGCAATGCCAACAAAAAAACCGACTTGCACGCGGTTATTCATTTTCGGGTTTAGTTGATTTTGGCACTTTATCCAATGTGCAGCATGCCTTGTCCATTTCCTGCTGAGCAATGCCAACAAAAAACCAACTACCAACGCATAATCGACTTTCGAAATTACTTTTGAAAATTAAAATGGCATTGAGCAGCTGAATCTTAATATAATTCCAATTTCAAGAGAAAAAATAAATCAACGAACTACAAAAACTAAAAGAATTTTCTTGTTCCAAAGTAAAAAAAACTTCGAATCAAAATCATGTGTGCCAATTTGCCCACCTGGTCAACAATGAACATAAAAACAAAGATGTATTGAATCATAAAGAATTCGTATTAATGAACTACCACCACCTACACGAACCGAATATTTTGTTTGTACACTAACAACTAGTTATTAACATCAACAGGCACCGATCAAAAAAACAGTTAAGCAATCATCAACTTGGACTTGCAAGTTTATCGAGCCATCTTTGCTTTTCTTATGAAGCTCGAAATACCCTGTCAATCGTATCAATAATCTTCCTCTCAGCATGAAGAATCATCTCCTTCCTCTTCTTCTCAATATCTGCCCTATACCGTTGTGTTTCACTCATCATTTCAATCTTTTTATTCTCCATTCCCACAAATTTCTCCGTAAAACACCTAATTTCTGCCGCCAATTCCATAGCTCCACCACCACCACTTTCTTCTCTCTCATCCTCCACCGGCACATGCTCCTCCTCCACATCATCATCTCCATCATAACACCGCTGCTTTCTTTTCCCATTCATCGGATTTCTCGACACTTTAGTGACCCTATTGCTACTTCTGCTGAATCCCCTCTCAATAGGCATTCTCTTCGCAGTTCTAGCCCAACTCTTCACTTCGCCACGCACAATGTTATTAATACTCTTCGACTTATTTCTAGTTGCTAATTCCACACTATCATTACTATTATTATAGCCCATGTTCCATTTCTCCTCGCTCTCGTTACCAGACTCACCACCGCCATTGTAATACTCAGCCGAATTCGAATACAAACTGTCATAGCCAAGAGCAGCAGTGCCGTGGAAGGATTTAACGGCGGAGATTGGGCGTGCATTGACGGGGATGGGGCCGCGCTCCATTTGATCCATGAGGTCGAAGTACTGCCATGAGTAAGAGTAGGGTTTTTGAAGCTCCGAACGGTACCGTTTTCGGAGTTTCTCGATTTTGTGGCGGCACTGGGTGGCGGTTTTGGAGGGTTCGTCGAGGCCGCAGCGGGCTGCGACGGTGACTGAGACTTCCTCCCATTGAAAAGCTTTGAGCTGTCCTTTTTTGAGTGAGTACCATTTCTCTTGGTACGCTTTGATTATTGCTAGGGTTTCTTCGTCACTCCAGGGCACCGGCGGCGACTTTTTAGATTCCGTCGCCGGCGGATGAGGGGGTACGTGTTTAGGTGAGAGAGAGGGAGAACATGAGTGTGATCGGGAAGGTGGGTGCTGCTGCTGCGGCGGCGGCGGTGGAGAGGGAGAGGTGGAGGGGGAAGAATAAGCCATGGTCGTGTGAATTTGAGAGATGAGAGGGTGAATGTATATGTTTATAGGAGGGGTAGGTTGCTATGACTAGTGCTTTGGCGGTGGCGGTGGCGGTGGCGGTGGCGGTGACTGCGGCGGCGGTGGTTGTTGGTGGAGTGTGGGGTCGATTGGAGTGTGGGGGCTGCGGAGGTCAAAAAGTGCCCGGAATTGGGGTTGTACGGATTAACATTGCCTACGGTTTTCGTTTCTACAGTTAGCTGCAGTATTAAGCTTTGGAATTGATAATCGTGCTTATTGTTATACACTTGTGTCAACATTTAAGTTGTTATACGTTTTTAATTGTAATTATTTTTTTGTTTATGCAAAATAGATACTCTATATGCCATAAGGTGGTATTACATATAATAAAACAGTTTGATAATTGATATATAATATTTATTTAGATTAGTTTTTTTTTTTCACAATAGAAGAAGGGGAGAAAAAATATAAAATGGATGATTATATTAAGTGTGTTCTTCAAACTCCTTGACTCAATTGCAAAAATGGAGAAATCATTTGTACTATCTATATACCCTAATGAAGTCTCCTAATGAAGTCTTCACAGAATCACATCCCACCTCCAAACATAATTTCATACCTAAATGCCAGAACAAAAAACAATCATTAGATACAAAATTAATTCTATAAAATATCAGAGAGAGAGATAGAGAGAGAGAGGGAGAGAGAGAGAGAGAAGCTACCTCAAGAATGATATCGGTTGGAAAAAAATAATCTCAAATGACATCGAAAATATTGAGAAAAAAACTATGTATTTGTCCGGTGAAAACAAGCTCAATGAAATGTTAGGTTCGTCGGGGTAGAGACTTGCTACTTCGTAACCAACAACTTCTTGACGCCTGTCATTCCGAAGAACAGATCGATCATCACAAAGATTCGTAAGTAGGGGAATATTAATGATAAGAAGTTCGTTTATATGGAACTCACTTTTAATTTGATCTCTTTCAGAGTGTCCAAAGACTCGGAAAGTTCCACTTGTTTTGATGCTGTAGCGAGCAACGCCTAAAACACAATGAAAATTCACCACTTTCAGACATTTAGTCGACCGATTAATCCAAAGACTAGAGAGTATAAAGTCCAAATAAATCTTACTTTTTTGGTCTTTTGCAAATCGTACTCGATTGATTTTATGCGGCTCATAGACTCGAGAAGTATATCATCTTTCTCTGGTGGAATCTTTGCAGGTTTTTTGCACAGCTCAGTTACCAAATCCTCCAAATGCTGCAACTTCTTGCAACATGGGTGGAGAAGCTCCTCTGTATTTGATCGTGTTTTTTGTTCATCCGGAGAATTTGAATTTGGCGACTGGATTTCTTCTGTTATCTCAGCATTTCCCGTATTGAAAAAAATTCGAACCATCCAAGAAAGCAAAAAATATATGAATGCAAGTAATCTGATCAGCACATCTGTGGCTATGGTTGAGATTGATCGCTTTGTCAGCCTCGTCAAATCTACGTCGAGGTTCAAACAAGAATATAATTAGACACCCCTCACTTATGTATATCAACCATTTTAAATTCATTATTGATTCAGAATATTTTTTATCCTTTCTCAAGATTGCTGTGACAAATTTTTGTTTTTAGGAGATGATATAATTAACATGTTTTTTGCAAACATAAGGCAGAAGTGAACATTAAAGAAGACTTACTTGATGTACAATGAGTATCGACTGCCTCAATATTATATGGTTCCGATCTTGTCACTCTCTCCTAAGACAGCAAAGTCAAATAGCAATAAGACATACATAATTGATAATCCTATAAACTCATATAAAATCTTAGGTTAAACATTTAAAAGAGGAAATGATAACTTAAGCGCTTACATTACTGCAACCTGCTGTTGCTTCCATGGTGCGGTGAGATGAGGGTCTCGAAGAATAAGTGGAAGCAGTTTTACCCCTCGAGTCCTGTGCGGAGAATCACAGTATTAGTTACATCACACACACAAGGGTGACTAAGTTCGTTCTCAATTGCAGTATTATGTTACCTTCAAATCGATTAGCTTGATCTCAAAATCATCACTGTCAGAGAAGCTATCTGGGAAAAATTCACTACTTCGATTCTGTAAAAAGTTTAGTTCAAATTGTATATATGAAAAGTAAAAGAATAATAAAAGTTGGGCTCTAAAATTCGTCATAAAATTTTACCTTAGAATCTATTAACTTGATTTCTAAATCATCGTTGTCTGAGAAGCTGGTTATCTTTCTAGGATACATTAATTCATCATGATTCAACGCGTGTACCAGCTGCAAATATGAGTTGGATAACCCTGATCAAATGAGAAAACATCGGAAAATGATGCAATAACAAACGAAAAGTTCTTGATTAACGCTTGTCAACCTGAACAGGTAAACCGAGTCCCAAATGTATACCTTAATCAGTTCTGGACTGTTCCATGGTCCCTTGTCAGATCTAAGACACCCACGTTGATCAGGGCATGAGCAGGATCCACCAAGAAAATCTGGCAACTGACTGTTTAAATAGTTAACACAAGTCATAATCTGTAAACATTTTGTTGTAGAACTTCTCATTAGGAGAAAGAAAAACCCTCACCTAGCATCTACGACCTCCAATAGCTTATTCTGGAAGTTCGTCCCTAAAACCTGTAAGACGGCAAACTTGGTAAATTGACACTTCCATTAGCTCCATGACATTTTGGAGTTTGAATAAGATTTAGATTGTTTACATGTATTTTCTCTGTGGTCCTTGGATCAAGAAAGCCTTTTGCCCAACTCCATAGACACTTAAATCCACTACCAGCATTAACTATGAACATATGATGCAATGTCTGAAAATGACGAGTACAATCAATCAGTTGAATAAACCGATACATATATAAGAGTAAACATATCTAATCTATTCAGGAAATTGCAGCTGAGGTACCTCAGGATAGTTGTTTCCGTCTATTCTCTGCATTCGCATTACGAGATCATGTGCTACCTTACCGAAACTCATCCAGTTCTGCATTAGATGCATATATACAGATTAATAAACATGTGTTCTAAATTAAAAAAACAGTTGCGTGTACTAAATCATTTAAGAAACAAAGGTGAACTTAATATCTAGTTCACAGACCAGTCCATGTACGTCCAGAATTGTGGTGGTCGAATCAATATGTCGCTTGGCTGCAATTGAACATGCTGGAAACTTTTCTGCAAAAGTCTTTTCGAAACCCTGAATATGATACTTTAAAAACCTATCGGCAGTGGTGACACTCATCAGCTTGCTAGGTTCTAGTTTGCCAAGTCTTTCGATGTACACTGGTCGCCCTTCTTTATCCACACCATGGTAACCATGAGGATAATAGCGTTGAACTTCTTCAAATTCGTCATACAGAAAATCCTGCACATAGACCATTCTTTAGCCCTATATATGACCTCAGTTCTCGTTTCGTTTATTAGCATACATCTATCGAAACTAGGGAATGCAAGTTATATAATCCATTTGATGACATCATTTACCTGAATAATAGAGTCTACTCCATTCTCTTTCCTCCATTTCAACATTTCTACCCACATATGGATCGCTTTCTCAAGGTCAAACTTCCTAGCTTTCAAGAATCTGCAATTTCATTCATTACTTTCATCGGGCTCACGAAAAACACGAAAATGTTTGTTTTGAAAGATATCCGGAGTTAGTTAATTTTGATTAGATGTAGATTAATACCTCAATAGAATATGGTAATCATCGTGCTTAGCCGGAAGCAGGTCTCGTTCAATCAAAATCTGACGAAATTCACACACTGCCTTCTCTTCCCCTTCATCTAGAAACTCTTCTGTCGAAAACGAGGCGAATTGGCAATGCACCACCCTCTTGCTGCGTTTCCTTAAAGTTTGTTTAATTCTTGTTGAACCATTCACTGCCTTTCTTCTCAACGATCTCAATCGTCGTTTTCTATTCTCATCCTCGAAAATCATCTCGTGATCAGATCTTTTCCCCCTTTCATCTTCGTCAATCATAACTATTTCTGATTAATGAGAAAAAAATAAACAAATTGAAAAATCAAACATATGGAATATACCCTATCGTATGAACAATTTCGAAGGGTTAAATTTCAAATACCTGGCATTGTTCTTCTAGGGCTTCAGAATTCAATCGGCAGATACTCTGCACCAATAAACAAATTATACCTCGTCAATTTCGAAATATTGATAATCAGAAAGACGAGAGAATTTGCCCCAATGATTTAGTAAATCCAGAAGGCAATCAATTCTGAAGAAATGATTTCGTAAATCTAGAAGATTCGCGATTCAGATTCATTCCCGATTGAAAGCTGTACACAATCTCGCAGAAGATTGATAAAAACAAAAACGAAAATTGCGCATTTTTCACGCTTCCGTAAAACAAAGCAGAATCTCACCACGAGGCAGAATCAAAAGATACCATAAATGGAAAAGGAAATTCAGGCTCGTCACATCATCATCAACACACACTCAGTCTATATCACACGTACCTCCAAAAAACTGCAGCATTCAAAATCCTTCGGTGATCGATCACTCAGCAATAATCACTTTTTTTCTCTCTCTGTAGTTGTGTGTGTGTATATATATATATTATATATATATACACATATGCCACGTGTACAGTCACATAGAGAAATATATATATAATTCACGTAGAAACGCCGTGGCCGGTGGATTAACAGCTGGAGTTACTTTCAGATCACTCCGTCCGTCCGTTTGTTTCTCTTTCTAGAAACTCAATTCTCGTGAAAACGTCAATTGAATTGAAGTACTGTTAAATTACGTATACACACAACACACACTGTAGATACAAATACATATATCTATAGATACAAATGTATGTATAGAGAGAGAAATTGTATCGGTTGGGTATAATTCTGGTAGAGAGAGAGGGGGGGGAATATGGGGGAGAGGAACCGACGAACGAAGCGTGTCGTTTTCAAAGAATAGTAATATTGTAGTAACGTACAGTGGAGCGCGTGGGGGTGGGGGTGGGGGTGGGGGGAAAGTTCAGTGACGGCGGTTACTTGACGGCGGAGCTTTGTGATGACTTTTAGCTTTGCTTTTGAACGAATCGGGGGAGGAAAGGAAGGAAACATGAAGTTGACGTCGCCGTCAGTTAAGGCACTGGGTGGAAAGTTGAAAAAGCGTGTTCGGGTCTTGTGTACAGAAAATTTGGGTTGTCACACACACTAAACAAATGAGCCCTTGTGTTAAAGAATCATTCAATTTTTTAATTAAAATATAATATAATTGAATTGGGAAATACTATTAATGTAGATCATTTTATTTTGTCCAACCATTAGAGGGATGGAAATCCCAACCATTTTTTCGTATTTCATTGATTACAATCCGAAATATTTCGATTTTGGAAACAAATTTTCATTGTGATTTATGACTTTCGAAAATCCAATTTCCGATATTTTCATTGATTATTTACCTGAATTGAGATTATATAGTAATTTTATTGCATATTTTGATTTTCGATTCAATTTAATTTCCAAAAAACTTATAATTAATATATATATATATATATATGACATACCCTATTGGGCTATCTCAATGGACCCAAAATACAACCCATCTATAAATAAATAAGTTAATGGGTCGATCATAATCCTGTTAGTTTAAGGCCATGAGGAGTCCATTAAGATGTTTAATTCAAATGAAGATTCTATTAATTTTATTAGTAGAATTAATAATTTTAATTAATGTGCCTTTTGTAGTCAATTAATTTATATATGTATTTTTCAATTCAAACTAAAAGAAACTGTGGGGGAATTTCAATTAGGTTGACTATATTATAGTTTAGCAATAAATAAAAATTTGGTGGGAAGTTTGGTCTTAAGGTGTATATTATATATTCCACTAACGTTGTGCAATGTCCATGTTAAGACAACCATTGGGGATTAATGGTTGTGCATTTGCCAATTGTCCCACACCACACACACACACAACCTTTTTCCTTTTTTTTCTTAATATTTCTAGAAGAATATTAAATAAATAAATAAAGCTTAAATTACCAAAATAGTAGAAGTCAAATATTTATACTCAATTAACTAGGAATTATGTGCTAATGTTATCATATGTAATCAAGGATTCCCCCTCACCTTTACTTTTAGTTTTAGTGTTTTTATTTATCGTGAGATGATTAATTACTAGTCATGATGAAATCATGCATCTAGAAGTGTGTACATATCATTGGGTACAATCATTAGCAACAAATAAGCAAGTGATTCAATTTAATTTAATCGTGATTTGAAAAATACTAGGGAGAGGGGGCTTGACCCCCGACCCTCTGTTGGCTCCGCTATTGTGAACAATAACATGATGATTGTTAAATCTAATTGAACATTAACTATCTAAAATTGTAGATTTTGGAATATATTCGTTATAGTTGGTGAACATTCTTTCACAACTTGGATTATAATTAAGTGTGCAATAATTATATATATAATTGGATAATGTATTTATATGTTGTTGGGATATAAAAATGGTTCAAACTTGAAACATGGCATCCCGCAAAACATGGGCCTCAAAGTGAGGTACAAGGGACATTTGACATGCATTTTTGTCTTATGACCAAGGACAAGAAATTAATCTTTGGAATTTGTTTCTCTATCGTATTTATATATTAATTATTAAGTCATAATAAATTATTATTATTTCTTTATTAATTTATTATATTTCTTTTGACCTTGGGCAAGTTGGGCTGCATGCTTGGCCTAGGCGTAGTTTGGCTTGCGGCAGCAACTTAGGCCTGGACCATTTTGTTTTGTATATAATATAATATTTGTAGTAATTATATAATTATTTATTTAAAAAATAATAATTAATTAGACGTCAATAATGTTATCTTCAATAATTCCATTATGTATACGCCTAACTGGGTCTATAATAGGCCCATTAAATATATGTCTATATTGGGTTTGACAGCTGAGGGCCAAATAAATCAAGTGTTTAGGCCCAATATTGATTAAGATCTAATTATAAATTTAGAACTATACTCTAGGTATAAAGTAGGGTTATAATTATTTAATTACAGTTCCACCACTAATTAAGTATAAATAAGACCCGGCCTCGTGGTAAAAGGTAGAATCCAACGGCAGTTCAACCATCGAATTCCGACAATCAGAGAGAAAGTTATGATTCCGAGAAACATCTGAAAAATTGAGAGAAAAATGAAATATAAAGAAACGGTCGTGGATAATAAATAGGTCAATTTTTGAACTAAAAACTAATTAGAGATAAGTATGAGGGGGTTTTCGTAATTTAACATTGCACGAGGGGTTGGTGGTAATTTGGGGTTGCGGAGAAAGATCTGAGTCACACAAGTGAAGTGAAGTTAAATCTAGAAGGCATATCCCAACTCGATTCGCTCCGGCCAAACAATTGCCCCCACCTCACCACGGATTAGGGCCCCACCGGAAGAAAAGCCCAAACCCCCGCCTCCTTCTACCACCACCACCACCACCACTGCAATGCCAATTCTGTAATTAGAAACCACTATGGCGGTTCTCGGCTATGGACCCTCAGTTCTCACTCTTCCGCCGCCGCAGGTCCGCCTTTCCGATAACCGCCACCTGCATTTCAACCGTTCCACTCACCGCCGCGTTCATCTCTCCGAGAGTACCAAAATCATATGCAAATCATCAAGCTCTCGGTATGGATAATTTTTTTTTGTTTTGTTTATGGCAGTATGACCGTGTTTAATTCTCCTCTTCGGCGTGATTCCGGCGTAGTTGTAGTTATATGAGTTTTCGATTTTTTATCCTTTCATAACTTCTTCCATGATTGATGTGAGTGCGTTTAGTATTTGAATGAAAGTTGCTAGCACTTTAATGTTACACAGATGATATGTATTTATTGTTATACATGGAATTTAGCAATGTTTGACGAGAGTGGAGAGTTTAATTTAATGTTCTTTCATTTGCACGGTGTTTATGCTATTATGAAGTATCAAGGAATCGAATTCTCGGAAATGAAATTAGAAATACTTGCAGTTAGAGCTGAATATATGTTTGTCGAACTTTGTTTACGGATCAAACATGGTGTTAGTTAGTAAGCAACCAAATGATTTTGTTTTGCATTGGAATGCCTGTTAATGAAATATAATATTAGGCTTGTCCTCTTGATCGTGGATTGGATTGCTATTGTTGTTTAGCTTAGGTGTTTGATGCTGTAATATATTATTCCAATTCCGACAAGCTCTCTGTTACCAAGATAATATTTTTTGATATTTCGTGCTATGCAGGATCGAAAGCGTTCAGCATGATAATGCAGAAAGCTCCGACACTGCAAAATCGGAAGTTATTCCCGAGGATGGAAACATGGCTTCTGATATTGCTATTGGAAGTTTAGGAAACAAGGCTGCTGGTAATGGAAGTTCACTTCTCCCAATACTAGGAATACTCCTTGGAATAGCTGCCTTGATTACATTAATATCAGTTGGCGTAAAGCCGCTAAGTCTGGGAACATCAACTGGAATTCAGTATGTGCTGGATGGCTCATCCTCTCCGACATTGGCTGCACCTGCTAGTGCTTTTAGCTTCCGGGCTTTTGGATATAAATTTGTGCTTCCCGAATATGCCCCCGGGTACACTTCTATTTAGCTCCCAAATTTTATGACACATTTTTTCCTTACTTTTCAGGATACACCTTCCATATTGGAGTTTTAACTTGTAATATTTTAATGTTTTTCGTCATTTTATGCTTTTAACTTCCTGGTTGCAGATGGGTTTACTTTTGGCTGCTGATGGCAGCAGGATGCGGACTTTTTATTAGCGAAGAGGCTCTAAATATATGGGTATGTCCTTCATGTCAAATCTCAATTTCACACGCTTCTGTGCTCTTGCATCTCTATATTTATTGTAGTCTTTTTCTCTTTTATCAGGTCATTTGAAATGATGTAGGTTGGCATTTCTTTGGCACGGCTACTTTCTTTGGGCGGGACACGGCAATCTTTAGTTGATTCGTTTTCTAGAAATGCTCCATATATGATATCCACTGTTATGTGGGTGTACTGGTTAGTGTTTTATTTAATTATTCTTTTTTTTTTTTTTATATTTAGTTGGCCTATCAGTCTTAAAGTCATTATTGCAAAAACAATTCATTGCTGTTACATCATGTCTTCCCGAAGCAATGGATTTTTAATACATCATGTCTTCCCGAAGCAATGCATTTTTTAAACCTCAAATTGTACATCTATTCGTCCAGCTCACATGGTGTGTGTATTATCTTCAGGGGAGTTTGTCTCAGTGATATGATACCGTTTTACGTTGGGAAATTTTTCAGACAATCGGGGGCATCTGATGATGTTTGTTCAAAGGTTTGTACAACTGAAATACATTTTAATCTGCATAATTTTTTTTCTTCTTGAAACATCCTAAGTGTCTGTCTTATGTCACTCTTCGTGATACTTCAGTTAGGGGTTGACAAAAAGAAAGCTGTGGGCATTACAAGAGCTATACAAAGATATGGAAATCTTATTGGTTTTGGTAAGTCAACTGATTTAATTTCTTATCCTTGAACACCCAAAAAATTAGATGACCTAATTTACATTTTATTATTGCCAAAAAGTGTTAGTTATTATTCTCTTGTTTTTTTTTTTCGCCTTGTATTTCCTTTCCTCAAGCAGAACACAAGGTTTTTGGTGTTAATTTTGAACCACATTATTTAATGCTTGTCAACTTGCTACTTTTTCTGATCCTCTTATTTTATTTGCAATTCATACATGCAGTGGAACGATTTTCTGTTGGAGTAAGAAATCCAACGGCTTTTCTTGCTGGGGCAACGGTCAGTGTTAAAATTTTACGAAAGCTCCTTTTTTCTGCATTTTAAGTTCCTGCCTGAACTTGTTAGCTTGCGTGAATTTATCAATGGTTATAGCCTGTGTAAATACTAAATAGTTGAATAAATCTATGTAGAAAGGCAAATATAACCTTCAGTTGTGAACTCAGTTTTATTTGCTTAAATCTGATTACAGGGCATATCACCAGAGTGTTTCTTTGCCGGTGTCTGCTGTGGTGGACTCATAACAGTTCCATTACAGGTAATTGAAGTTCTCCTTGATAACACAAGTGAAGATGGCTTTTCTACCTTTCTTGGTATTTCAAATAAAAATATTTACAAAATAAAATTTTATTGTTAAGGTGCAATATTTCAAATAAACTTTCATTTTTTCACCCCACAAAAAAAAAAAAAATTATCCTCTTGTGCTTATAATATTTTCCATCTTGCAGTTGGCGATTGGATTCTTGCTGAGAGAACGTCCAGTCTTTGCCCTTGCAACTGTGGCCACTGTAGTGGTGAGCTCTTGTGTTTAACCGTTCTAACTATAATATTTCACTTAAAATTCTAACATCTGTCACGTTTACAGGGAATGTGGACAGTGTTTCCATATGCTGTGGCGGCTATGACTGCATTATTCCTCTATTTGCGAAGCCGTTACTCTACTTAGCTCTGCGTCTTATAATCGGAATCGGAAGTTTCTATCGAGGAGAGGCCAATCGCTTGCATCTCGAAATTTATTATAGGTAACTAACTTGAAAGATTAGCTTTGTAGAAGATAACTCGTATTTTACCATTTTTCTGCAAACAACTTCATAAATGAAAGATCAAAATTTGGGATGAAGGGTTGTCCTTGCCTTCGTATTTTCTTGATATATTGTTTATGGGTGTTTGCTGCTATTATATCCCCTCACAATATACATGTAGTCATTCTAAATAAATTATTGTCAAGAGTCTCGTAGATGTATACTAATTGATCCCTGCATTTAGGGGTGTAAATGAATCTAGTGAGCCAAATGCATGATTGTTCATATTCATTTGAAATTTTTATCGAGTTTGAAAATTGTATTTTAGCTTGGTTTGGCTATTAGTCGAGTTAGGCTCGAGCGAACTTTAACCAAATACAAATCGAGCTCAAGTAACTTGATATTTTTATGCGTAGTTATAATTTTGTTTATACGAGTCAACTTTGGTTCGTTGTGTTAATGAATCAAGCTAAATAAACTTTTAATGATCGAGCTCGGATTAGTCTTAATCGAGTACCGATTAGTTTGATTAGAATTTCATTCCGTAACTAAATAAATCACGGATACATACTAATTCTATCACGTGGATTAAAGATAACATAGGATTTCATCATCTCTGATTCTCTTCACACTATAGATTATGTCTCCTCTCTCTTCAGTATACCATACAAAATATTATGATAAATAAGCTCTCATACATAAAAAAGATATATAATAATAATAATACTAATTCACACAAGACCAGAAGAGGCAAGATAGGCTAGCTGGAGACTATAAGCTTCTTTGAGCTCAGCAAGAACCTGTGAAATACTTGGTCGACGAAGTGCATCTCTTTCGACCGATCTGCATGCAATCAAAGAAGCCCGTCTCAAGCTTTCTGCATCGAAACCCCCCTTTATAGTTTCGTCCACAATCTCAAATGCACCAGCCTGCAGGTATGGTTTTGCCTGCAAAAAAAAAAAAAAATTGCAGTGACATGAAAACTTAGCTAGATTGTAATTTTATAACTTTAGAATGGTTGTTTTCGTAAATATAAAAACCAAGTTTATTTACCCATAGAACCAAGTTGAACGAATCTGGAGAGCCGGTGTGAGTTAGGGGTTCTCGGCCGCATATCAGCTCCAGAAGTACAACCCCAAAGCTATACACATCACTTTTCTCTGTCAACTGTTGAGTCGAATAATACCTGTATATATAATTATGTATACATTAGTACAAAAATCGATCTCTATGTGTGCGCGCGCGCGTGTGTGTGTAACTGAAGAAGCAGCTATGGATTCTTACTCAGGATCAAGATAGCCTGCAGTGCCTTTGACTACAGTGGTGACATGTGATGCATCTGATTTAGTCACTTGCTTCGAAAGGCCAAAGTCGGAAACTTTAGCATTCATCTCGTTGTCTAAAAGAATATTACTGCTTTTTACGTCACGATGGATTATACGTAGTTCACTTCCGTTGTGTAGGTACTCCAAACCTACGCCATAAAAAAACGAGCCCGTTTTTTAGGCCTATGTTTGCTATTTACTGTATGGAATTTGTACTTGTGGTTAGATTAAAGAAAGCAGTCACCTTTTGCTGCATCGACAGCGATTTTCAGTCTCCGAACCCAGCTTAGTGTCAGTTTCTTGCTCTTTGCACCTGTTTGAAACTTTTAGTTAATTAAGAAAAAAAATGATTAATTAAGAACAATCAAGAAAATTAACAGACCATAAAGATTATCTGCCAATGATCCTCCGGATAAATATTCGTAAACGAGTATTTGCTGCTTCGATTCGCAGCAGAACCCTTCCAACGACACCAGATTCTGATGTCGAATTTGTGATAAGAGAGACACCTGAAATTAAAAAATAAAAAATAAAAAATAAATCCAGGAAATTATAATCAAGAACACATTAAAAAACATGAGTTTTTTTTTTTTTTTTTTTTTTTTTATTATTAAAAAAATAGACCTCATTGATGAAAGAATCGGCGCCTAGCTGAGATTTATCGAAACGAACTTTAACAGCTACTGATTTGCCACCTGGAAGCTTGCCGACATACACACATCCGAAGCTACCGCGGCCAATAGCTTCTTTGAAGTTATTTGTAGTTGCTTTTATCTCTTTATAAGTGAATATTTTCGATGAACCCCATTTATGCATGTCCATTGCAGAACCTAAAAGTCGTAACAAATAAAAAAGAATAGTTAAAATTATCTGTTCAGCGTTTTCCTATGTTTGATTTACTGCGAAGGTTGTCGTTTACTTGGTGAATAGCTTTTCTCGGCTTTCTTTCTCTTTATGTACACGATAGCCGAGAACGAAATAACAAAGAGAGCAAGAACGGCTCCTCCAACTGCACATAGTAGAACGATCAAATGGCTTTGGTATTTGTGCTTCTTTGGCGTAAAGATTGTAACTTGCGGAGCTTGAAGTAACGGGTTTATTGAAAGCTGATTGCATGTTAGTGAGAATGAAAGGCACAGGTTTCCGGATGTCCTGTAAAATGATAAAAGAAAAATATATAAATAAAAGGAGTTATATATGTATATATATATATATATATATATATATAAATAAAAGGAGTTCCATACATACACATATATATATATATATATATATATATATATATATATATATATGTATATATGAAGAAAAGTAGATTTCAGCTTATTTGATCTCACCTGACTTCTAAGCTTTCTCTGTTCAGTGACTGTGGGAGTGGCCCTTGTAGCTTATTGTTCTCCAGATTCCTTTAATTTACAGAATAAAAATCATTTTGTATATATATATATATATATATATTATTATTATTCATACTTACAATAAATGAAGGTCTCTTAGCTCTTCAAAGCTTTCAGGTACTGTGCCTTGCAAACTATTATTTTGCAGGTCCCTACGAATAAAAGTGTCGATTTAATTCTTTTTTTCGTCCCGTTCTCATATTTCTAACTAAAAAAAAAGGAGAAGAAACTTTGGTTTAATGAGACTTACAGGACTTGAATGTTGATCAAATCTTCGAAATCGGAGCCAAATGAAGTTATCTGATTGAAGCTCAAGTTCCTGCCAAAATTATTTTAAGACAGAGTAAGAGTTTACACCTTTCCGAAACAATATATTTTTTTCGAGTACTATTTGTTTGGTTTTGATGAGATGATTACAGTTTTTCGAGATGTTGGAGACCACCCAAGTTTGGTATCTCTCCGGCAAGAGAAGTGTTGTGCAGATCTCTACAAACATAATAAATTGTAAGTTATTACAAACACTTAATATAATCTAGCAAATAAATTGTTGATTCTTGTGACATAATTCTTAGTTCTTACAGTGATTTAAGGTCGAGTAGATCACCAAATGTAGGGATTATCGTCCTCAAATTAACGTCGAAAAGTTTCCTACATACAGCCCAATAGATTAATTAGCCAATAAAACATAAATATAAATATAAATAAAAAATCTCATGTAAGATTAACATACAAAGAAGTGACAAGATTTCCATCACATTCGATCTGTTCCCATGGTGTAGGCGAACACGGATCATCTTCCCACCCGAAATCGAGCCCCGTAAATTGTTGTATAACCTGAAGAGCCGATACTACAAAAAAGGGATTAAAAAAATATTAGAAATTCTAAGCATAAAAAAAATCATGAATTAGCAGAATTCAAGAATGTAGTAACGAAAAAAAACCTGTGGTTGAAGAAGATTCCAAGGGAATTTCAAGAATCTCGTAAACCTCGAGAGCGTTCACTAAAGGATAGTATGTAATCGTCTTTAATGTAATATTCAACTCCTTGATTCCTTTCACACTAAAGAATATACCGTTGGCTTCCCAACGAGCCACCGTGTAATTCGACCGAACAACCTCACCGTTAATCAGTAAATCGAAAGTTGGCGAAACAGGTAAAATCCCAGCAAAGTAAAGGACAACATAGTAATCTCCTACATTATCTAGTGGCAGCCTATATACTAGGTTGTTCCACCTTGCAAGAACTCTTGCTGTCTGAAGAACAACACAAGGAGGGCTCTCTTTAATCTTCGACAAATCGAAGTTACTCTCAATGTCGAACCCAGTCGATACGTGATAAGGTGAGTAATCCTCGTCAGCATCCCATAATCGGTCATACGGATCCAAAGGGTACCTTCAAAAAATGCAATTTTTTTTTTTTTTGAGAAATAGTACAAAATGATCATAGAAAATGGTAGTGTTTTAGTAATTAATTACCTTAGTGTTCCGTCACTATAACCGCAGTTAATACGGTGTGATTTCCTTAGAAGCTTATTATCGTTGGAATCTTCCGGAAGGTAAGCTCCCTGAGGAAGGTTCCGGAGTTCGAGTGAGGATATAACGGGAAATCCACCGTTGGGAATCGAGTGAAAACACAACGGTAGAAAATCTTTGTGATTATTATTAGCTGATGGCCATATAAATTCTTCGATCCATGGATCCGTGTGAGCAAGATTAACGGTGGTGGTTACAGCTGTCCCGAGGGAGACAGAGAATACGGGTGGTTTATTAAGTCCGTCGTAGTTTTTGTAGACAAATGTTGTCCTAACGAGAATTGAAGACGAGATGTTCTTTATTGGGAGCCTGTAACAGTTTCTGCCCGAAAATTCGGGGAAATATCTGAGGGTTTTTGGGGTGGTTCCGTCTGAGGAAACCACACTCGTGATGTTGCCTTTTGTCACGTAGTTTATATCCGGTGTCCATGAAATGTTGGATGAATCGACGTAATCTGTCGTTCCACCGCATGTTAAACTCAAGAAACCTAAAAAGAAAAAGAAAAAAACTAATTGTAAGAATATCAAGAATATCGAGAATTGTAGTACAAGAGGGAGAATCGAATACCGTCTTGGTAACCGAGAGTGAGGCTTATGAATGCTGAATATAGAAATAAGCCGAACCAGCTAACGAATCGTTGCTCCATCGAATAGAAACTGTCTTCGAAAAAAAAACAGTGCAGAGGAAGTGGAGAGAGAGAGAGAGAGAGAGAGAGAGAGAGAGAGAGAGAGAGAGAGAGAGAGAGAGAGAGAGAGAGAGAGAGAGAAGATTTGCATGAGAGAGAAAGTTAGAAGAAGTAAGAATGCAGTAATATATATGATGAGAACTGAAGCTTTTGAGTGAAGTTATGAAAAAAAGAAACAAAAAGATGAACTTTTTGACCGTTGGATTGCATGCTGTTTTAGAGGGAAGTAATAATGAGTGGTGATGATGACTGTTTTTATTGACACCATTAATACTAACAGCAGCTGATTGTGTTAAGACATTTATTTAAGTTGAAATCTGGTGTTAGTTATTTCTTGATCTTCTTACAGTAAGTTCTTGAATTTACATCATTGTTTTTTTTTTCCATCTTTTTCTTTTGACTATTGTGGGTAGAAAGGCATGTTAGGGTGTAATGATGGCTGATTTTTATTTGAACAAAAAAAAAATGATGTCTTTGTGCATAGGATGCTTCAAAGAAGAGATTTATTGATTGATTTTTTGTGTAGGCCTCCATTAATCCTTGTTCATAATTAAAGCTTGTCTTCTTGATCAAGGGATATTTTCACTTTTTTGAACACCCCAAAACTATTGCCAAGATTCAGGCTTAAATTATCATTTCTCGGGTCATTAATCGAATACGTAGGACCTCATGCGCTATCAGTTGTCCTAAAACTAATTGGTGTTAAAAAATGCGCAAAATTGTAGTCTGATAGTGTATTCAACGCATACAAGCGGTTAATGCAACTTAACTTTATGATATGGCTGACTAAGAAATCTACATCGGAAATTCTAGTGAATAAATTGCACAAATTTAAAGTTAAAAATTATTTTCTTAAATTTCTATGGTAGAAATTAGAATGGGCTTTAAACTAATGATATCGTTTCTGGGCCCATGGGCTTTATATTTCAATTTTCAATTATAAATAGCCCAAAGTAAATTCACAGTTAGGAGAAGGTCTATTTTGCAAATATATTAAAAATCAGGACCCTCGGGGGGAATAATATATTTCATTTATTCAACGAGTATTTTTCTGCTCAATTATTTCATTTTTTTTTTCAATTTTCAGTATTCGAATTTCAGTACATACTTATATTCTTTTTACAATTGGACCCTTCATAACTCATGAATTACTTTCTATTTGCTTACCTCCCAATTAAGGGGTGTAAGTGAGTTGAGCCGGCTCATGAGCTCGATGAGCTGGCTCGACAAAAGCTCGAGCTCACCAAATATGACTTGCGGCTCATTTTACACCCTTGGGAGTCCGACTAATGGTTTCATGTGATCCGTAGGTTAAATTCAAAAAATATTAACATTAAATATTTTTAAGTAAATCTATAGTTGTGTTTTCATCAAGCATAAATAATGGTCGAAATTGGAACAGCAATTTCGATACGAAATTTTCCAAAATTCATCCAATTTTTAGCAATTTGGAATCGAAATAGATCATTGAATTCCAAATTGTTTTTTTTTTTTGAAAGGACCTAAATATAAAATCAGTTTATAAAGAGTTGCATTCTTTGTTTGGTGGGAAAAGTGAGATTTAATTGACAGCACATCTTCTCACCAAACCCTTATCTCACAGTCTTAAATCTACCTTTAACACCCCACCCCCCCTCAGCCACCTACCCCCCACTACACTCTCTTTCCCACACTATTTCTTCAACCCCCATTTCCATTTTCTTTTTCTTTCTTTCTTTTGCAGCCATTGAAGAGTTGTTTTTCTTCATTCAATTCTTTCTTACATTTTCATTCAGATTCAGAGTTTTTATCTTATGGCTAAAGTTTTTTCTCTAGCAGAAGTTTCTGAGCACAACACCAACAAGGACTGTTGGCTTATTATTGGTGGCAAGGTATATCATATCATATCATATCATATTATCGATTCTTTGTCTACCCTTTTCGATTTACTGTTGTGGGTCGACTCTGTTTTCTGTCTGTCATGATTTTATCTGTTCAAGATTCAATTTTTGTATCATTTCTTGATTTGTTTTTTTTTTCTTTTTTTTTTTGGGAATCTGATGAGTTTAGCTGGAAGTCTGGTTAGTTTTGCTTATGCATCGTGCTTAAATGTGACCCCTTGTGATTTTTCAGACAATGTTGTTGATTGGATCGTAGGAACTTGGATTTGATTTTTCAAGTTTCCTTAAAATGCACTTTCTCTTGTGTTGTTTATTTGTATAGCTTGCAATATAATCGTATGTATCTACGCGCATTGTCGAATTGAAGTACTAGAAATAAATCTATCTGCAAAATGAGTTGTTGTTTCTAGCTTATATAATCATCAACATATCAGATATTTCTTATGCCGGTGGTCCTTACGTTTGTGTATATATATCGACAGGTTTACGACGTGACTAAATTCTTGGAAGATCATCCAGGTGGCGATGACGTCTTATTGTCTTCAACCGGTATTTTTACTTCATTAATCCCTTCAATTAAGATGTGATTTAGCAACTCGAATATACCATGTAACAACATCTCACCATAGATTTACACATAACACACATGGATGTGTACGGAACGTGACAAGTGTACGGTTAGATGTTACCCAATAGATTTTCATAGAATTATAGTATGTAATAAAATCATGTTTCTTGGTTTGTGATGGATTGTAGGAAAAGATGCAACCGATGATTTTGAGGATGTGGGCCATAGTACAAGTGCTAAGGCAATGATGGACGAATTCTATGTAGGAGAAATCAATTCATCGACAATTCCGAAACAGACCAAGTACACTCCTCCGAAACAGCCTCATTACAATCAGGACAAAACATCAGAGTTCATCGTCAAGATCCTTCAGTTCTTGGTTCCGTTGATTATCTTGTCTGTGGCTGTTGGAGTCCGTTTCTATACCAAATCATCAGCCTAAGAAAAGAAGTACTTTTTTCTTGTTCGTTGTTCGGTAATAAATCGAGGTTGTTACGGTTGAAAAATTCCGTCTTGTCTGAACTTTCTAGACGGTTATGTAGTCTTTTAAGGTAGCACGGTGTTGCAGTTTGTGAAGTTGTTGAAGAGGGATTGATTTTGTATTCTATTCGATTTACGTGAAGAAACTCACTATTAAAATCCAAGAAATATATTCATTTCCAACCGATTCTCGTTATTAAAATCGACAACGAATAACATACGACACGAATAATTATCATAACTTATATTTGACTAATGAAAATACCAATCAAGAATTGAGAAAAAAACAATGACATACCTCGTCACGAGACATGCTTATCGCATGTTCTTTCGGTTACCTTAGTCTCGTTTCTATGCGCAAAGAGTCTACCGACAGCCTTGGAGAACAAGTCAAAGAATCTTCTAGAACCAGACCTCTCAATATTCATCTTCATAGAAACATGTTCCTTCTCCAAATCATTTAATCTCATTCTCAGCCTAGCCAGCTCGAGTTTCAACTCCCGATTCTCTCTCCTTAAAGAAGCATAATTATCTCGTGGAGAAATCGCAGCACTGAGGGCCCCACTGCTTATCCGCCAAGACTGCTGCATATTAACATTCTTCGGATCTTCATCTTGGTAGGAACAGAATAAGGCGTTTCGTAGCCTCGTTTGCTCGTAATAGAGAACTTGGACTATTGATTGGAGAGGGAGCCGCTCGTTTGTGGCGGCGTGTGCACCTGCTTCTTGAGATAGTTTCTGAAAGTCGATTAATTTGCAGAGCTTTTTCCTGTCTGAATCTGTTAAGTGTTGATGAGCCTGTGGAACAATGGTTTTTTCAGTGATCAGTTTGAGCAGTCCTTTTCTAACATGCCTATTTCAGACAGTCAGTCATTTTTTTTTTTACATGTAAAAATACATTTGCAAATTTAGCATTTTTTCGTCCTGTTTTCGCCCGAATTTTCTCGTTTATGACTGACGTGGCAAACAAACTCTTGCTTATAGTGAGACTTAGAATTTATATATACAACCCTTAGTCTTGATGGATTTCGGTATTATAAATTGCCAGATTTCGGCTTTTTATGCACTGATAATCCACATACACAGAATCCTACACGTCGTCATGCCACGTCATCAGTAAACAGACAAAAACTAGAAATTCCAGCAAAGCAAGACAAAAAATGCTAAATTTAGCCAAGTTAGAGCTAAAGCTATTACTTACTTTGAGGTAAACATCGACCGCTCGATACAATCCATCATGAACCGTACGAGCATGTGCAGGTAAAGCTTCCGCCACATCAGCAAACTTGTTGAGCTTAAGATTTGCATCAGCTGCAATCTCACAAAGGTAATTATCCACCAACTTCGACACTTTAAACAAAGCCGTTTGAGAAGGCGAAAGAGGATAATTATCCGATTCGAACAGCGAAAAATCGTCCATATCTTCTTCGCTATCTTCACTCCGAGAGAAATTAACAAGTATTCTTTCCACAGTGTCCACATCGAACAACGTGTCGCCAGCCTGGCGAAAAGAAGGTATCAAAAGATCATCAAGACTTGCTGTATCCAACTGCGACCCTATTCGCCTCTCGAGATCCAGCCTGCAAGAAATTGCACAGTCGAAAATCACCGCATTTCGTAGCAACCCGAAAAGAAAATTTATCGGAACGGCAAATTTTTCGACCGGGAGTAGGCTTATAATCGCCTCCACCACAACTCTTTCATGTCCACTAATTGAGTCGGTTTTCGATTTCTTGAGTAACTCCTTTTTAGCATAGTTCATAAGCGATGAGCCTATACTTTCTGGTCTAACTCCTCTGCATTTCATTGCTTTTACAACTCTCTGATAAAAATCGATTCCAAGAATGGAAAGGTCCTCTATCCACCAATCGGATTCACAGTTCGTTTGGTTCTTGCTCATGTGAAGTCTACCCGAGTTGCTATACTCGAGCCTCGAAAAACTTGAGGCAATTTGCTCCACGCAAGCTTTTGAAGCTATGGAGTCGATGCATATTTGGACTATTTTCAGCTCGTCTGCAAGTGGGAGTAGCTTTTCGCATTGTTGGAGGACTTTTACGCACATTTCGAGGCTTTTGGACACTATGATTTCGAGATATTCTTCGGCTCTGGTGAATAGGTTGTTCTTGGAGTAGTCTTCGGTCATTTCGAGGTAATCGGAGATGCAATAAAGATGGGCTACATTTGTGGGGGTAATTTCGAAATTGACACCGTAGCAGAATTGGGCTGCAAGTTCGAATGAGTCGGCACCTCCTTGTAAGCTGACAAGCTCGATTCTTGATATATCGGAGTCTCTATGATCAGCTACCAGCTTCCGGATTCTTCCGCTTCGTGATACGAGAGGGAACTGCAATTTTTTTTTTAAGTAACAATTTATATTTTTTCAAGTTGAAATTTGAAATGTGGTAGCGTGTGTGCGGTTACCTTATGCAATAAGAATGTAGTGCCGTCTACTTCGATTGTTATATCGCTCGGAACATCTCGAAATACCCTACGAAAAAGATATCGGAACAGTGATTAGAGAAGCGATTTGAAAAAAAAAACAGATGATCTAGTTAACAATAGATGAAAAACAAGTACAATCCCGTGAAACGAAGTGTCGTATAAAATATAAATCGTAATTCTCTTACAAAGATTCGTGTTTTCGACGATTACTAATGAACAAGGTGGATGAAAAAAAAAAAACACTTATGAAGAATCAAAATCAACAAACAAACCATTCACTACACCGTTGTGGAGGGCAGTTTTCTTCCATGGAGAAGGATAACTGATGAGAGAGAACAGATTCGACAATCACAGAGAGGAGAAACGGAAGCTTTAGAGAGAGAAAACAAGAATGTGGGGACAAGGAAACAAGCTGATGAGAGAGAGATAGTGCCAGTGAGAGATGTTGCTGTAGGCAAAGTTCTTTGGCGATTTTTGTCAAACAGTTTGTGTGCATATCATACATTGCAAATTGTCCAGACCAAAGCATTTGCTCTCTCTTGTGGGTCATCATCTCTAATCCAAAAAATATTAAATTAAAAAGGAACAAAACAAATTTATAAAAAATATTATTTCCAATTTTGAACAGCATTTCGCAACAATTTGTGCTCGTAAAGGGGCGAAAATAAAGGAGGAATCGCTCTCTGCGTTTCTTTGTTTATTTTTCATGAAAAATGTCAACACAAATAGGGAGAAAATTGAAAAATAAATAAATAAATTATTTGTAATAAAAGATAAAAGCGGGAAAAAAGGTCGTTATTCTGGTTTGACATTTTACTCTTTGCCCCCCTAATCTAATTATAATTTTCACTTTAGTAGCCTTCAAGTTTTGTTTTTCCATTTACAACCCAACCTAAGAATTATCTTTTGACATTTTAATTCATTTATTATTTATTTTTATTTTGTATTTTTGATCGTACTAATCGATTAATATTTTCAATTTTATTAATTAGGTGGTTGATACATTTAAATTTTAAGCGTGAGAAATTTAACGTTATTTATTATTTATTATTATTTTCTTTTTCCATGGTGACCAAACAAAATCCTTTGATTGGTCTTAGCACCAAAACTTAATAATAGTAGAAATATTAAATGCAAGTACGTGATCACAAACATATAGTGGTGGATCCAATTGATAAAGAGTTGTTAATTTTATTTATTTATTTATGTATTATTATTATTTTAATTTATTTATTTTGCCATAGGATTGAAAGAGTGACGGTGGCCAACTTTGTTAATAGTAGCAATTAAATTATTATTATTTTTTATTGTTTCACCCACCTTATTTATTATAACAAAGGGTCCACATATTTCCCAACTCCATCAATCATTATGCAAGTAATTTAATTATAAAACCTTTATTTAATTTTTTTTATAAAACTTGAAATTAAATGTTTTTTTTAATGTGAACTAACAAACATATTAGATGTGGATAAGTAATTGATAAGCAATGCCAACCAATTATATGCATAAATTATATGTCGGCTGATCGGCTAATGTTTGTAAGTAAACTATATTAATATGATATTAAAGAAATTAAAATTGACTCATTTATTTATTGATTTTTTGATAGTTAAAGTTGACTCGTTGATACACTAACTACTGTTGGAAAGCATGCAGGGTACGTGCGCAATCTTATATTAAATTATGAAAAAAAGAAAAAACCCTAAACTTAGGTAAATAAATAAAAACATGTCACGTTTTGTAATTGCCAAAATACTCTCGACTCCATCTTATATTGATCCTCTTATGGTGTAATTTTTCGTGTAATCTTTTTGAGTTAAGGGATAATCATCCCTACACATATATCATTTATTTATGATACTTTTTAAAGATAAAAACTAACCTTAGGGGGCCTTTACACAGAACTCTATTCTTCTTGAATATTACCTTCACATTTTTTTAGTATTATCATTATTGGTCTCAGTGTAATTTTTGTCTTCAAAAAATAATATAAAGAAATGTCACGTTTGCAAATAGAATTAACAATTTTTTCGCAAAATATTCACCGAAATAAAAAAAAGTATTTTGTCAACCTCTTTAAATTAAATGTATTGATGAAAAAATAAAGATAGGTGGAAAACTCAATCATTAAAGGAGACATAGATATTGAATGCCAAATTTCCTTCCACAAAACAAAAAATTATTACCAATTGTTTGTAGGTTGTAACATCATTGTCTTTAATTTTGTTAATTTGGATTTTCTTTGGGCATGTCAGAACCAGTCAAATCTCATATGTCTTGACTGTATATTGGAGTGTAAAGGCATCCAATGTTTACGAGGATGTAAAGTAGGGGCATAAACGAGCTGAACTTTGTTGTTTTTGCGAGCTCGAGCTTCAGGTCGAAAGAGTTAACGTACAAAAAAAATAGATTTTAAGGGGAAATATGCAACAAAAAATTCGATTCCGGTGAAATTTGGCTATCGGGGCAACATAGGACAAAAATAATATTTTGAAGGGAGGAACTCACTTTTTTAAACTTAGAGGGGGGAAATGGAGGAACTTTGAAATTTATAGGGGGTGAAGTGCAATATGGTTTTTGGTGGGCCGAATCATATAATTTGAAAAATACATGGACTGTCTTTGAAAATACCAAAGCCTAATGGATTTGGACCATTTGATTGGCCCGGATAAACTTTATGGGCCGGACCATTTTATTTTCGGAATTATTTTATTGTCATTTAATATTTTAATTATTAATGTTGTACATTTGTACTGCTGACCTTATTTGATAATTAAATTATTAATCAATTAAAAAGTTCATGCCATGTGAATAATAAATTGATAAAAATCACATGAGTTTATTTATTTATTAATATTTAATCCTACATCGTGTCATTGTGGCCCTCTCATTTAATATTATGTTTCATTTTCCCCCACCAAACTTTTTTTTTGAACATTCAAATGTATTATCATTCAGTAGAATCACATGATGTAATTTAAAATGCATGTTAATTGCTTAAAAGAATACAATAACTGCTTAGCTGTATAAATAGAGTTCGCCTCACCAAACTCAATTAATTTCAAATATTAATATTTAGCAAAACTAACACTAAGGATGTGTTTGGTGTATAGTGGATCCACAATAATACAATATAGTGGGTGGAGAAAAATGCTTTTTAATTTTATTGGGGAGAGAAATGTAAGGATAAAAAAGTAGAGAAAAAGATAGGCAAATTCATAGTGAAAAGATATATATTTGAAACTTAAAATGCACTATTTTTGTTTTGGGGCTTGATAATTACCGTTATGTATTTCGAAAGGTGTTTGAATTGTGAACGGTATTCGTAACCTTAGACCGCTAAAATTATTTCAGATTTATTTTACAGATAAAATTACGACTTGGAGCAATTAGTAACTTTGTGAACTTCAAATATTTTTTATTGTTACAAATTTCTAGAATAAAGTTTTATCATTTAATATTAACATATTTTAATGTTTTTAATATTTAATTTAGAAAATAAAATAAAATTATTTCATCTACGATAACTATCTTGAACGAAAAAAAACACAAAAGGAAAATTCATTAATTATTATCCAAATACGTCCCTTTTTTTTTGAAATATTCCTAAAAAATCATTTTTTTTCTTGAAAATTACATTTTAAATATCAATATTATTATGTATTTTGTATTACGGATGGCTAGAAAATAGAAGTTTCAAATTCCGCCAATTTCTATTTCTGAAATTCCGATTTCGGTTTTTTCGTAATTTTTCTTTCTTCAATAGATTGAAATTACCTTTATACCCAAAAAGATGAAGTGGTACCTAGGAGGCTATTTTCACCCCTAGTTGAAAGTTTAAAAAACAGGACTACACACAAATGCAAATCGATAGTCTTGTTCGAAAACATCAAATCTATTTTGACTCTGTAAATCAATTACACACAGAAAAGTGAAAACACACACACACACACACACACAGTAACTCCCACACACACACACACAGAGAGACACACGTTGTGTCGTGTATATGTAGAGCCAGGCACAGATGTAATGGAGGGAGTGGTGAAATAAGTCCAACTGAGTCACGTAAAAATACAGGCAAGAAGACGGGTTTTAAGGATTGAGTTCCACCTCAACACCCAACTCGGAAACTGCCCCCTTTTCTGCTACCTTTGTCTTGTTCGAGTAATTAATTGCTTCTTCCATGAATCCAATTATTCATTGCTTGAACATGGGTTGATTGCTAATTTCAAGGTTATTTTTCTTTCTTGGATTCCTGCTGAAAATCCCTCTTCTGGGTTTTTTTTTTTGGTTTCTGTGCTCTAATTTCTTGTTTAAAGTTTCGATTTTTATTTTTAAAATTGATTTTTTTTTGAATTTTGATTTATTTATGCAAATAATGGTGAGTGAAGTTTGTGGTTATGTGAAAAACCTGATCTTGCTAGTTTGAATTACTGATTTTGATTCTTCTTCTTCTGTTGGAGTTTGTGGGAGCACTGGTTTTTTAGGTTTGATTTTGTTGCTGGTTATTGTATGAGCAATGTAATTCAGTTTTGGGGTTTTTGGTAATTTTTGTTAATTGTAGCTCCTTATTTTGGAAGATCTTTACATCTGAAATGTTGCATTATCTAAAGGCCTTTTTGAGATAAGATTCTTTACTGGAAAGAAATGTGATTGTAGCTTTATCTCATTTTGCATAATAAATAGGCAATGTTTTTTATTTAGTATTTCGATTTTCGACCCTTTGTTATCACTAAGTGTGCCTCTGTTAGTGGTGCTTTTGTTCCATAGTTTCTAATTGAGTTGTGTTTTTTTTCTCGCTAGGATTTATTTCTTAAGCGGTCGTAAATTATCTGTTATCGAACTATTCATCAAATTAACCGGTAGCAAGTGAAAAGGAAAAAAAAATAGAAGAAAAAAAAACGTTCGTCGTCTTCTTGAAAACAGAAGGTAGTGTTTCTTGGCTACGCGAAATGTAAAGATTAAAGAACTCTATTCGTGTCAATTTGCTGTCAGACGTTTGAATATTTAACATTCTCGTAAGGAAGCAGCGTTTATTCTAAATTATGTATGTAGTAGTTAGAAGTTTCTAGACGAACTGAACTTGACTTTTCATTGGTTACTTCGACAGGAATTAATAAACCTCAATTTGGAAATTAAAAAAAAAAGAAAAAGAAAAAAAATCATGAGTCCTGGATGCAGCGCCTATGAGGGCACAATCGAGTCCCAGAGTACAGATTACGGTATTGCCCCTGATAGCATCGAGTTGAGGGCCTCTCCTCATAGAAAGAATTTGACTATTAATGGCACAAAGCGCGGCGTTGCATCTAATACTGCTGTGCATGAACTTCTAGAATGTCCCGTTTGTATGAAAGTAATGTACCCTCCGATTCAGCAGGTAAAAATTTCTATTGCAAATTCAGTTTATGTTATTTACTTGTCTTGTATATTACATTAAAACCGATATATTGTTTCCGATTATAGTGCCCAAATGGACATACTTTATGCTCCAAGTGCCAATTGAAAATACGTTGCTGCCCAATTTGCCGTCACGAGCTAGGAAATATAAGGTGCTTGGCATTGGAGAGAGTTGCTGAGTCACTCGAATTGCCGTGCAAATATCAGGTCGTAGGGTGTCAAGATATTTTCCCGTATCACGGGAGGCTGAGGCATGAGCAGAATTGTCGGTTTCGCCCCTACAATTGCCCCTACGCTGGAGCCGAGTGCCACGTCAGCGGCGATATCCCATTCCTTATGGCCCACCTCAAGAGTGACCACAAGGTCGATATGCATGATGGCTCTACTTTTAACCACAGATACGTTAAGTCCAATCCGCAAGACGTTGAAAATGCCACGTGGATGCTCACCGTAAGCTCTCTCTCTCTCTCTCATGTTGTAACACGCTTTTTGTAGCACAAAACCCCCTAAATAGTGAGTTTTTAGGGGGAAATTTGCTAAAAACAAATTGAATCATAGTGGGGGTTTTTGCTATTAAAATAACACTGTGAGTTCTTTTAGCAATTAGAGAATATACAAGGGTGATTGAATGCAATAAACCCCAATTAAATTAGTAAACTAAATAATTTACTAAAATTACACGAACCTTGTGCAAATACTCGTGTCGTGTCACTTACTAGTCCAATAAAATTAGGGGTGGGAAAAAGACAATTTTGTCCCCGAACACAATATTGGATTAATGTTAAGCCAATAAATCCCAAATTCTAATACGAGCAACCAAACATTTTACTAAAACTAAATAAATTAGTTATTCAGCCAAAATTTACGGTTTTTTTCTTGTTTCGGGTGCAGGTTTTCAATTGTTACGGGTACCAGTTCTGCTTGCACTTTGAGGCGTTCAATTTAGGAACAGCCCCAGTCTACATGGCGTTCATTCGTTTCATGGGAGACGACCACGATGCTAGAAAGTTCACTTACACCTTGGAAGTCGGAGCCCACGGCAGGAAGCTGACGTGGCAGGGTATACCTAGGAGCATACGCGACAGCCATACGAAAGTACGCGATAGTATGGACGGACTAATTATTCAGAGAAATATCGCGCTCTTTTTCTCCGGGGGTAACAAGCAGGAGCTGAAGCTGAAAGTTGCGGGGCGAATATGGAAAGAAGAAGCGTAAAAGAGGAAGTACCGAAATTTCTTTATTTTATTAACTATTTTGTTATTTATGTATATGTAAAAAAAAAAAAAAGTTTGAGCTAGTTGTATGATGTGGGATGATCTTTTAAGTGTTGTTGGCTCATTAATTAAGACTGATTGATTATTAACCTTAAAAAGATTGTCATAATTGTGTCATTCATTCAGCTGTGTTTGTTGTGGTTTCTCTATTTTGTTTCGGTGTATCGAACAGTTATAATTCATCGATTGTTGTATCTCGCCCGTGTGGGGCTCGTACAAATGAATAAGACAAATTGCACGTAAAGCCCGTGAAGGACAGCCCAAAGTTAGACGTCCGGTTCGGTTGAAAAGGTATATGAAATACTAGCAAGGAGAAAAACGTCTTTCACTCTTACGTCGCACGCCGATTTGAGGTAAAGCAATGAGGTGTCACGGTATGACCTCAGGCCGGTGTTCTAGACGAGCTGACGTTTGTTTAACCTAAAACTCAATTAAATGATGTGGCATACACCTAATTACTAATACTAAAATACTAATATTAATATTAATACTTATACTAGACATATTTTTCCCTATCAAAAAATATACTAGACATATATCTCTCTCTCTG